TTAGGGTTTAGGGCTTAGGGCAACTTCACTACCCAACACTGGGGGACGCCTCTCCATTCATTGAACCTCATGGAAGCATTATGAAGTATTACATGCGAGTTCAGCTTGTTGCTGTGGTTTAGGGTTTGGGGTTTACGGGTTGAGATTTCAAGGGTTTCAGGCTTTAGGGCTTTGGGATTAAGGATTTGAGGATGCAGGTGAGGTCTGAGAGGTACAGGATTCAGGGTTCAGGCTCAGGGCTTCGTGGGGAGTACTCACTAAAAAGGCAGCAGTGTGCATCTAGCATGAGCCATGCATCGACCCCAAACCCTCAACCCCAAAACCTGAAAGCCCCATACCCCTGAACCCCAAAACCATCGAACGCCCCCGAACTTGAATGCGGCAGGGCCGCAGCTACTGGGGCAAAGAAGGCCTCGGTAGCGGGCCTCACATCAATCTGCTGCTCAGCTGAACTCAGCGGCTGCATAAAGGTGGATGTTCGGGGTTCAGGGTCGAATATAGAGGCCTCGATAATTACCCATACGATTTCCTTATTATGATTATAGCATACTATGCCCCAAAACCCTTTTCTAATTATTAAGGCCTCTATAAGAGGGTTCAGGATTGAGGAGTTTAGGGCACAGGGTGCGAAGCGAGGCTGATGTTGATTCCTAAACTCGTCCGGAAGCCTGGTTGAAGCATAAAACCATAAATTGATCTAGGGGCCTAAATAATTACCTATACTATCTCCCGGGTTCCTTATTATAACTATACTATGAAGGACCCCAAAACCCTATCCTAAACTACAGCTTTAAAGCCCGAAGCATCCCTAAACCCTAAACCCTAAACCCTAAACCCTAAACCCTAAACCCTAAATCCTAAACCCCAGAGCTGGGTTGCCCTTCCTCCGCCAGAAGCGTCGACCAAAGAGTGTTGGATAGATCAGCCCTATCTACCGTATAGGGTTAGGGTTTAGGGTTTAGGGTTTAGGGTTTAGGGTTTAGGGTTTAGGGTTTAGGGTTTAGGGTTTAGGGTTTAGGGTTTAGGGTTTACGCCGTATCACAAGAAGCACCGTCCTTTCCACCGAACCTACAGGCTGTAAGTCGTGTGCTCAGGGCTTACTAGCTACAGTTTGATGCGTTCAAAGCCATGTTTGTAAGTTCACATATGCCGACCTATTGAATTGCATGTCCTCCGAAAACCGTAGCGGTCGGAATGTCTACGGAATGTCTAGGAATTCGATATGATATCCCCTTATCATCCTGTATGACTACTCAGACTAGGATACCCCCGACCCCTCCCCCCCCACACCCCAGTCTGCTACAAAATCAGAAGGGCAGAAATACATATTTTCAAGCACCATATTGCCCCACAAACAGATGCTGTAAACATCCTGAGCATCCCAAGCATCAAATTTTCACAAGATCCTGCAAGCACCCGACCATTCAAACCCCTACAGCCTTCAAGCCTAACCACCAGCAACCACGTTCGCGAAATCGCGATAAACTCCAAGAAAAATCCAACATGCAAGAATCCCATAGACACCCAAAGCCTTAAGACTGTAGATTCCCCTTATTGCCCCCAAAAGGCCCTGCTGACTCCCTAGACCCTAGCCCCTAAGCCCTAAACCCTAATCTAGGGGCCTAAATAAATACTCTTTTATACTATTTTGGGGGGTTCCTTATTATACTTATAGTATACCACCCTATTCTAATTACTAAGGCCCCTATCTTAAACACAAAGAGAAGGTTCGAGGAGGCTGAGCTGGCTGTGAAGCAGCAAGAAGCCGCGCTGCGACGCCTGCGTTATTGGGGGTGTCCGCGCTTCCTCTCCTAGACTTACGCAGACAAAGCCGCGGCTTGAGGTTTACGGTTTGGGGTCTATGAGTACACTACAAATAGATAGACAGATAGATAACACGTATGTCCATCCATCCATCCATCCATCCATCCATCCATCCATCCCTCCCTCCCTCCGTCCATCCATCCATCCATCCATCCATCCATCCATCCATCCATCCATCCATCCATCCATGCATGCATGCATGCATGCATGCATGGATGCATGCATGCATGCGTCCGTACATACATATACACATGCATACATGCATACATGCATACAGGCATACATGCATACATGCATACATGCATACATGCATACTGACATGCATACATGCCTACATACATGCATGCATGCATACATGCATACATACATACATACATACATACATACCTGTACA